AAATTCTAAACTCTTCCAACTTCAGTCTGTAAGTTTTATTGGCACACATGCATGATAATTAATTTATGTTTCTGCTTTTGTACTACAACAACAGATTTGAGCAGTTGAGGTATAGACCATATGGCACACAAGGATTAAAACACTTAGCGACTCAGTACAGAAACTATTTGCCAAGCCTTATTGTATGATTTCCTCTTTTTACTATAAAAGTATGTCCTCCCTTTTTGCTTTATATTTCATTTAATCTTTATTTATCTTAGTCACATCCAAATAAAATATTTAAGACAAAGAGGCATGTGACAATATTTTGGTAATACAGAATTAGTGGAGAAAATTGAATAGAGATGAAATATCCACTCACCATAAGATCCAAATTATATAAATATTTGTCAATGAAATAGTTTCGTTTTCTAATATCACTATTATTAATCACATAGACATTTTAATGTTTACTTTAAAACTCAGCAGAAGCCGAACAAATTGCTTAATGGCAAAATCTATTCATAATAGAGTTTAGAAAATCTTATCCTAAAAATTTCATTGGTATATTCTATATCAGAAGTCTAATATGTCAGAATGTATTTTGTTTCAGAAAATGATATATTGATGTATCAGAAAATATTGTGCGTGATATATACAAAATTATACTGGTTTTTAAATGCTACCTGTTTAAACCCCCCAACAACAAATCCTCAAAGAAACAACTGCCCAATAAATAAGTGGGCAAAAGACTTAAAGAGAAACTTCTCTGAAGAAGAAAGAAGGATGGCCAATAGACACATGAAGAAATGTTCAACATCCCTAGCCATAAAAGAAATGCAAATCAAAACAACATTGAGATATCACCTCACCCCAGTTAGAACGGCAAAAATCAAGAACTCTAACAACAACAGATGCTGGAGGGGATGTGGACAGAAAGGAACCTTACTTCATTGTTGGTGGGAATGTAAACTTGTTCAACCACTTTGGAAAGCAGTATGGAGGTTCCTCAAAAGACTTCACATAGAACTCCCCTATGACCCAGTAATCCCACTTTTGGGCATTTACCCAAATGTTTACAAACAAGACCACACCAAAGCTACCAGCACAACAATGTTTATTGCAGCATTATTTACCATAGCTAAGATATGGAACCAACCTAGATGCCCCTCAGTAGATGAATGGATCAAGAAAATGTGGTATATATACACAATGGAATTCTATGCCTCCATCAGAAAGAATGACATTGCCCCATTTGTTAGGAAATGGAAAAACTTGGAAAAAATTATATTAAGTGAAGTAAGCCAGGCCCAAAGAAACATAGGTCCCATGGTTTCCCTTATTTGCAATATCTAGTATATGTATGCGTCAAGCGGAAAAGGTCAGATAATGTGATGTCAGGAAAATGAACCCTTAGATATGTATTTTAATGTTTTTTTTCTTTCATGCATGTGTTTCTAACGCATTTATAAATATATGCTTATATATACAGATATATGCATATATATAAATATATACATATATATAGATAATGGAATTCTAGGCCTCCATTAGAAAGAATGACATTGCCCCATTTGTTAGGAAATGGAAAGACTTGGAAAAAATCATATTAAGTGAAGTAAGCCAAGCCCAAAGAAACATAGGTCCCATGGTTTCCCTTATTTGCAATAAGTAGTATTTGTCTAAGATAAGCAGAAAATGTCCAAAGCTATGTGCATATGACCATATAAAATGATGCTAAGCAAAATGAACCCCAAGATAGGGACACAAGAGGTTTTATCTTTCTTGCTGTTGTTTTTAATGTACTTAGAATGTACTGTGTGATTTTTTTTGTTTCTTTTGTATGTTCTTCCCCCATGGTATAACCTCTGTTTTCACTGTATTTGATTTAGTGTCCAGCATCTTGTATATACATTTTTCTAATTTGGGGAAGAGAAGGGAAATAACAAAATGCTGAAAGAAGGATACAGGTTGATCCATTGCAACAATGAGATGTACAAGACACTATGTTGAAATGAGCTTTACAGCTTCACAGGGAGGGAGGAGTTGGGGAGGTGGGGATGGAAGAGATGCTAGGAGAAAAACAAAGGAGGGGTTAACAATGCTGGATAGGAACTGTCCTCATTACCTTACTCATGTAACTATAACCCATTTATACAGTATCTTTACAATAATATATATGAAAAATACATGAAGTGGCACTGAAGCCAAGAATAAACTAAAGCCAGAGCCAACTTTCCAGGCAAGAATGTCTGCTTACTGTTCTTTCAAGTAAGATACACAAAAGTCCTTGAAATGAAGAGTAACAAGTAACTAAAACAAAACACTATTTGTCCTGTGGAACACTGCACTGTGAACTAATACAAGGGAATTAGACTCCCCAAGAAATATTATATGCACACACACACACACACACACACACACACACACACACACACACACACATATATATATATATATATAAATCATTAACATTAGAGATGATAATGTTTCAGATCATATTTTCACTTTTAATAGAAAATAATGGTCATCAGGTGAATGCTGCTGAATTCTTTAACCTTTAATTCTTTAAAGTAAATTCTTTAATCTTTCACATCCAAGCCTCCTTGCCCAAGGAGGGCATTCATAAACCTTTTGAGGTTTCATGGATTCTAGACATCCTTTTTGAAGTCAAATTAAAATCCTAAGAAAGAAAAATGTAAAGCATACTGATAAAGCCAACAAATGATTATCAGGTATTTTTCATAAAGAAAAATGATTAATTCACAATTAAATAAAATGTGTAATGATTTCCCAGCTGTTAGAATTGTTTAATAATAGCTTTTACAGTAAAGTGTGAAATTAATGCATCTAAATAACATATGGCATGGAAGCAGAAAAGGTAAGCTGTCAAACCAAACTGAATATGCTTTGTATTATTCCCTGTGGCAGAGTGCACACAGATTAGCAACCCTACTTCCACTTCATTCAGGGCACACAGCCGCTATTTTTTTTACTTCCTTTTGTGTTTAGATGTAGCCACAAGACTTGAATGTTGGCCAGCAGAATATGGGTAGAAGTGATGTATATCCCTTTCAAGCTTGCCCACTACATCGCTCACATTTGCAATACTTCATTTTTCTTCTGTTAATGGGAAAGGATTCTGTAGCTGTAAAGAGGAGAGGCCACAGGATGGCTTGGAGTACAGTTACCTGACTAGAAATATCCACCTTGGACTGTTTCTGTCTTATTAGCATGCTCTATACATCTTCCATATGTTCTGCTTTATATGTAGAAAACTCAGATCACTGAAGCAGTTGTACTTGTATGTGAACATCCTTGCCCATGGAGATCTCTCTCATCCATACCAAGTTCTTCCAAAATTCAGATAGGACAGATAGGAAAGCTTTCTTTAATTCTGCTTAACTCAAGACAGAGGTGATAATATCTATTCTGCCATTGATCCATTGGTGAAGAAATGTAATGACCCTCTAGTGGTTTTGGAATAGCCCTAAATGATTGGTTCAAGTTTCAAAATTTTGCACAGAAAGTGAGAGAGATACCTTACTGCATTGTTGGTGGGAGTGTCAACTTGTTCAACCACTTTGGAAAGTAGTATGGAGGTTCCTCAAAAGACTCCACATAGAGCTCCCCTGTGACCCAGCAATCCCACTTTTGGGCATTTACCCAAATGTTCACAAACAAGACCACACTAAAGCTACCAGAACGAATATGTTTATTGCAGCCTTATTTACCATAGTTAAGATATGGAACCACCAACCCAGATGCCCCTCAGTAGATGAATGGATCAAGAAAATGTGGTATATATACACAATGGAATTCTATGCCTCCATCAGAAAGAATGACATTGCCCCATTTGTTAGGAAATGGAAAGACTTGGAAAAAATTATATTAAGTGAAATAAGCCAGGCCCAAAGAAACAGAGGTCCCATGGTTTCCCTTAGTTGCAATAACTAGTATATGTCTGAGTCAAGCAGAAAAGGTCAGGTAAGTTGATGTTAGGGAAATGAATCCTAAGATATGTATTCAAATGTTTTTTTCCCATGCAATTGTTTCTAACACATTTATAAGATGATTTCTTTGTTGCTTTGTATGCCCCTCCTACACGGTATAACCCCTGCTTTCACTGTATTTGATGTTGTTATAATTTGTGAAGGGGAAGGGAAAAAGCAAATCATTTAAATAGGAATACAGGTGGACCCATTGCAACAATGAGACGTACAACTTTGGTGGGGGGGAAGAGAGTTGGGGGGGAGGAGGGTTGGGGGGGGGCAAGGGGAGGATGGATTGGGAAGAGGAAACAAAGGAGGAGGCTACAATGCTTGATAAGAAATGTACTCGTTATCTTGCCCATGTAATTGTAACCCCTCTGTACAGTATTTTCACAATAAAAAAAAAAGCAAAAAAATATATAAAAAAAAGAAAGTGGGAGAGATCACAGGAGGATTCTAACATAAATTTCAAATAATTGTTTAGAAAAACCTTTTTTTTCCCTTTAGGATCCTAGATCAAGAACAAACCTATGAGGTCATTTTACATCATCCTTTCTCAATAGGCAAGATGCATCATCTTAGGTATCAGGAAAACTGACCTCAGAAATGTAACTGCTCTCAATCCTAGTGAAGTGATTTATTATGTGGTTCCATATATTTGGAAAGCAGAGGCAGGAAGACTACTTGACCTTGGGTAGTTCCAGACCACTCTGGACAACATAGCATGATACCCATCTTTACAAAACAGGAAAGGATAAGAAAGGCAATTAGGACGTTATAGTTTAGGCATGTCTGAGAGTTCTATGAGAATGCAGAGCTGACAATGAGCATCTATCATGAACTAATTCCTGAAAGACAATCAGCAGTGAATTTTCACCAGTGAAGTTAGAACCAGTTTTTCTAATCACAAATATCCATTCATCCAAGCTGTTCAGTGTTTCCCATTCTGATTAACCAAATTTTGCCAAAACAGAGATGTTTAATAAAACAAAATAAAATCACACAATAATGGGATGCTTTAGATCAAAATGACATTAAATGTTTTTATTGAACAAAAGAAAATAAAACATGGAAGTTGAATTCACTGAGCAAAAGCAGCTCCCCAGGTGAAGCTGTTGTACATTGTGCTAAATAACCTCATGAACAGAGTATACAGAATACATATAATATGTAAGTTACCTCAACAGCAAAGGAGAAGAAATAGAATACAATTCTTGAAGATAAAATTTGGTCAAGTGACAAATTTAGTTGCTCAAAATTTCTAGCCCTTATCCACCTAAATTGAGTATAGTTCTCAAATATGCATTCAGTATTGTGCATACTGAATTCCCATTTTAATCGAAGCTGCTTTCTAGATTTTTTGATTTGACATTTATTTAATGTGACATTGTTTTTAAAAATTCATATTTGATATAATTATGTGTGTACCTACACACTTTTAAAAGTATGTAGGTATACACATTAAAAAATCCAAACCTTTTTTTTAACAAGTCAAGGGGGCATGCTTTTTAAAAGTAATATTGGTGAATTTCAGTTATTTCTCCTGTGTGTCTAAGAAACTTCGTATGTTCTCAATGCACCCACACAGTCAGGTGGGTTGACAGATATGTCAAAAATACTTTATGAAAAGAGGGAGGTAGCTCATGCGAGTTGGCAACCTTTTGTGCATTGATTCCTGTTGGAGCAGGCTGCCTCCCTTCAACATCTTATAGTCAAAGATGAAAGGAAAACTTTTTATTTTGAAGCCTAGTGAACATAGTTGTACATGTACTATAATCCACCTTCAACTTGGCTTATAATGTAAGATGACAAATACCTCACACCCAGTACACAGCAGTTAAAAAGTACTGAAGAAACATTTCATAGACAATACTTTTTTTCATATGTTAAACATCAGCTTCTATGGGATATATTTCCAGGATGGTTTTGTTACCACTTTATAAACATTCTAGGCCAAACTAACAGCACAAATAACATCAATGTTGTCTTTTTTCCAATATCTGCATCAATTACTGGAGGCTAATTCTAACATATATACTACTTAAGAGGGAAAAGAAGATAATTCATGACACATTGCAAATATAGGACTACAGCATCTTAGTTGTAAGGATGATTTTAAGGTGCAGAAAGAGGGGACTCTCGAGAAGGTGATGGTGTGGTTTCTTCAGGTGGAAAAACTGTAAGTGTACAAGCTCGAATACCACCAAGGGATTCAGGAAGATCAAAAACCTTATGCCATTCATCTTTATCTGGATCATATTTCTGCACTATCTCGACCATACAACGGTTATTCCAAGAATATCCACCAACCACATAGATCTTATTTTCAAACACAGCAACCCCAACATCACTCTGCCCTCTTAGCATGGCAGCAATTGGGGTCCACTGGTCAAGGATAGGAGAATAGTATTCACAGCTTAGGACATCGTCATAATCACTGGTTCCTCTGAAGTGATTGCCACCAATGACGTAGAGCCTTTCTCCCACTGTGCACATGCAATGCAGGCCTCGAACCGTGGTCATTGGTGCCTTTTGGATCCATTTGTCAGTATCAGGATCAAAGCACATTAGTTCCTTTTGGAAGGTGTCATGGGTAATTCCTCCTAAAGAAGGCAAACAATAGACATGAAGTAAACAGATCCTAAGAAAATGATATTTTTATCTTCTTAAAGAATACAAAATGACTACTATTTCAGTGACCTTCTCTTATGGAAACCCATGGTACTTAAGAGGCATTACTGAATGATGTTTTAGACTACAGAATGATTTCTACTACTTCAGAGAACTTCTCTCATCAAAACCCATGGTACTTAACAAGTTTTACTCAGTGATAATATTTTTTGGTCACTGTTAGGAGATGGACAATAAGTTTCACTACAAAGGATTATTGTCTACTTACTCCTTTTAAGTGGGTATCTTCTGAGTACTGAGTACTGATTCAAAGTACTCTAAACTCCAGGTGTCCATTTCTTCCTTATTCTAGTTATCTCATTAAGATTGTGGCTGGCTATGCAGTGAAATATTGGTCAAAAAGAGTTCCTTTGAACTTGGATACATAATGTACAAGAAAATACAGAATCTTTTCATTTTGGGTGGGTGTGGTGAAATTAAATAATGTCATCTGCTATCAGAATGAATGTTTAAAAATTAATCAGAATGGGGAAGAAAGATGGAAGGAGTGACATTGATCAAGATACACTGTACTTACAAGCTGATTTGTTGAATTGAAACCTCATTGTACAACTATTTAAAGTTAATTTTTTAAAAACACAACAAAAAAGAATTGGGATGCTCTATGTGGAATTTTGTATGTGCAGCAGTTGTTTGGTGCTCTATTAAGTCTGTATCATCTACAAAACGTAATTTTTTGATGCTGGGGATTGAACACAGGGCCTTTCAGACTGACGTCTGTCCAATGAAAGTATCAGACACTATCTTCAGCAGATTTTGAAGAGATATGATTTTTAGCCATAACACTCAAAGATTTACTTTCAAGTAGCCAGATGGACATCACTAATATAGCTATGCTTTCAAAACTTTCTACAAATTAAAAGAGTAACCTTTGTTAGAAAACAAACTTGGTTCCTATCCTACCCTTGATTGGGATAGTCATTTCTGCACTAAAAACTCATTATGCTAAAATACCACTAAAATAGATCAGATGTCATTTTTTTCCCCAGAGGATTTGGAACCTCCATTATATTGGTACTGAAGTTACATATGTAAAACAAGTAGACTGTGCAAATCATTGACTACTACAGCATATGATTTCTTGGATGGCTCTTTCAGAATTAGACATCCTGTGGTTGCTCAAGAATTTAATACCAGGAATCTGTCAATCACTCACTACAGACCTTTCTCTGATCCTTCATGATTACAGATTTCATAAGATGGTATAAAGGCAGTATTCAGAGGATCAGACCACAAACATCCCCTTTACACCTTTGTCCTCTAATAATGCAGCTGTTGGCTTGGCAATGACAGGCTTTCAATGAGGTAAAAATGGTCACAGACAGACTTCCATAAGGACCAAATGATAAAAACTCGTTTAACAAAATTAAATGTCAAGATCACATTGCATTAAGATGTCTTGATTTAAACATTAAGACTGAGAGAATGAAAGTTGTTACTAGTCATTGGATAAATTGTAGCCATTTCAGAATTTCCTCAAAAGATTTCTAAATGTGTATCAAATAGCAGAAATTAGTAGAGAATTATCCATGGAACGGGACCATAGTAGGGCACCATGATAAAGCTAAGGAAAAAGGGAACATACATATTATGGGTTACTGTGAGAATGAACATCATGAATTAATGGACATACTAGAGCCCGTATGTTATATAATGACATATTTCTTCATATAATAACAATATTTTAAATAAGACAAGTACATTGTTGCTAAAATGAATAGTAAATGTGAATTACACTATTAGAATACAGGGTGGAAGGACTGAGGAACAAATTGGAGAATCTGAATGCTTTCTTTATTCTTCTAAGTTATACATTTATGGCAGGTTGATTTCCTAGTACTCACAGACTTAATGAATGCTCAAAGCATTTATATGCAAATGTCCACACCAAAAATACCATAAAAAGTCAACAAACATTTTTATTTGGATTATCCATTTTCAGGGTTATTATTATTATTATTGCTTCCCCTACATGGAAAGAATATCTTAGTTATGATACAAATACATTTATTATAATGAATATGCATTACTATACTGTGCTCCTGTGATAACTGCTTACCTGAAATATACATCACTCCTCCATATACAGTTCCAGCATGTCCATAGTGAGGTTCACTCATTTTGGCAACATAGGTCCATTCATTTGTCCTTGGATTATAACATTCTACTGTAGCTGTTGAGAAAAAAGAAATTGTTTTAATGTCAAATTTAGCAATTAATTATATCTATTTTTAGATAAAACAGTAATATCTAAGGTTTGTAAACATACATTTTGTATGTATGAGAAATGCATTGGGAGCTCATAATTATATTCATACACAAACCATGAAATAGACACTGACAATATCCTATGTGCATACTTTAAGGACAACAGATGATTGGCAGTATATGAAACTAAGATCTTTAATTAACGGTCCTTCTACATTGTAATTTTAGTTTTGAGAGAAAGGGGAAGGATCCTTTTAATCTTTAACACAATGTATTTTGGAGAAGTGACCTCTGTTTACATAAATATCTTTCAATCAATCTGTTATAACCTCAATATCAGTACAAGGACAGTCCAAACAAATGGAAAATTCAATCCTTTATTTTTAAATTTATTTTAATCCCTCTTTAAAAAGAAAAAATGGTGCTACCATAAAGACTCTAGTCAAAAGCACCAAGTTGAGACTGATTTGCAAAATTCAGATGATTTACTGCAGACCCTGCCAAATGCCAATCTAGTTTCTTGCTTTCTCAAGCCTGCATTTTTGTTTTAGCAATAGAATGCCAACAGTGCTCAATGAAACAGTGCACCAAACTCAAAATGAAATTCAATGTCCCAAGTTCCTTTAAGCTTTGCTCAACAATATGATATAATTTTAGGAAGTGATATGAAGCAAAAGTCTACTGTGTGATTGCCATGGGAAAACTGTTTAGCTACTTAAAGCCAAATGCAACCCTGAGCTATGAGTTAACCTTTTTTATTTTTTTGTGCTGGTACTGGGGCTTAAATTTACTCAGCTTTTTTGCTCACAATTGATATTCTACTAGTCTGAGTCATACCACCAGTTCCAGCTTTTTACTGGTTCATTGGAGATTAGAGTCTTATGGACTTGTTTGCCTGGGTTGGCTTCAAACCAAGATCCTCAGATCTCAGCTTCCTGAGTAACCAGGACTAGAACCATGAGCCCTTCTGTACCTGGCTTTATGAGTCAACTATTGAATGAGATACCCTAAATAATAATTAAACCCAAAAAGGAGAATAAGACAAGGGCAGTTAGGGAGGAAGAGAGGAAGAAATTTTACTTTTCTGCTCTATTAGCAAATTTCATTTTTCACTAAATTCACTGATGCAAAGCACATTTTTCTCCTCCGGTTATAGCTATATTTTTAACACTTTCATCTCCTTACTGATTTCCTTTTCTACTAACTTTACAATTACATTTTCAAATTCATTTCAAAGGTGTTTACTATATTTAGGTTCTTTGGGCAGTACTGGAGACTGAACTCTGAGTTAATGCTTTCTAGACAAATGCTCTACCTTTTGAGCCACGGCATTATTTTATTGTTTGTTTTACTTTATGTTTAAGTAGTTGCACAAACAGTTGCCATTCAACAAAGCAGTTTATGTAGTTATTTTGAGATTGCAGTTTTACATTTTTCCCTGAGGCCAGCCTATACTGTACTTCAGTCCTCCTATTTATGTCTCTGTTGTAACAGGAATTACATATGTAAGTCACCATACTCATAAGGTGGTGTCCTGCTAACTTTTTGCCTGAAGTGACCTTGAACCACAGTTTTGCTTCCAATTTTGTGCCTCCTAAACAGCTAGTATCACAGATACATCTTGACAAACCCTACTGTTCTTTTGATCTAATCTTTTTCTGGTTTTATTACTTCAGGCCTACATTCTTACCAACTCTACTTCTTCTAAGCCTATCTATCAAGTAGCAAGATCTTATAAAATAATCTTTCACAAAATATGGAGTATTTCCACAATTAATAACAAGTGAAACTTCCATATACCCCAATATTGTTTTACACTAAGGCACTGATGCCGTTTTTAAATTTTATTTTAATTAACACATAATGATTCCATATATTTATAGAACATGATGTGACAGTTTGACACATGTATATTTTTCAGTATATTTAGCATATATGCCAACTCAGATATTTATTATTTCTTTTTTGTGAGAGGTCTATTTTGTGTGTGTGTTTTGGGGCTTTTACTTAGGGCCTGAGCACTGTTCCTGAGCTTTTTTTGCTTATGCAATCTACCACTTGAGCCACAGCTCCATTTCTAGCAGTTTTTGGTGATTCATTGGAGATGAGTCTCATGAACTTTCTTGCTTAGGCTGATTTTGAACCATGATCCTCAGATCTCAGCCTCATGAGTAACTAGGATTACAGCATAAGCCATTGATGCCCAGTTAGGAGATGTCTTATTTAATGTTCATTTCTATTTGCTTTAAGCATGACTTTCACCTAACTCCAGCAAACCTATTGGGTGTGCATTATTCCCTCACTACATTTAAAAGCAGCCTTAGTATATTGATTGGTTTTTATAACTAGCAAATTAATGGAAGGATTTTTATATGCGAAAGAAATACAGTCATATATCCTAACAGGAAAAGAGTTTTAAAAGATTTCCGTCATCAAATTCTCATGAATTTGAAGCCAAAAGCAGATTTCACTAGTTGTATGCTTTTCACAAGGCAAGACTTTGCCTTGAACATTGAAATTTCCTATGTCTAACTCAAATTATTCTGATGTAATTTCCCTTGATTTCCTCTTTTTGTGGTAAAGTTAGAAGACAATGCTTTGTCTATGTGAGTTAATTGCATTTTTTTTCCTAATAGGGGTTATTAAAATCTGTCCATATTTTCTCATGCAAGAAGGTCTCAGTACAATACCATAGTAACTACAGAATAGCTCATCATCCCTAAACTTGCCTTCTTCCAAATAATCTCCTTTAACTTTTCTACTCCTTCATTCTTCTCCTTCCAGCCAGGCACTGGTGGCTCAGACTTATAAGCCTAGCTACTTAGGAGGCGAGACCTGAGAATCCCAGTTCAAAGCCAATCCGAGGCAGGAAAGTCCATGAGAGTCTTATCACCAATTAAGCACCTAAAACGAAGTAGAAGTGTGGCTCAAAGTAGTAGATCGTGAGTTTTCAGCAAAAGCTCAGGGACAGTACCCAGACCCTGAGTTCAAGCCCCACACCACCAAAACAAATTCTATTTGCAGATACATTGTTATTATCAGAAGACTCAGTAATATATAATTTGAAAATAGAATGCATCTAATTAAAAAGAAGATGCACCTGCTCCTGTTTATATCACAGACAGAAGTTAGTCAGACATGGATTAGTGGCAATAACTCTGATGGGAGGAGGGGTAATAAGGAAAGATGGAAGACAAGAAACTGCAGCCCCATAGTGGTGGTTCCATCATAGTCAATGAAAGAAGAGAACAGGAAAAAAGAGCTGGGAAAATCTAGGGCAGGAGTCAGCACACTTCAGCCCATAGCTATATCTAGTCCACTGTCTGTTTTTGTATATCTCCACAGATAGCAATAAAAATGGACTTAAATTTTTAAAGGGTTAGAAAAGAGTCAAAGGACTAGTTTGTATCATATGAAAATCAGATGAACTTCAAATTTCAGTAGTAATAAAGAACACTTTTTGGGACACGGTCTCATTCATTTGTTTATTAATTGTCTACAGTAGCTTTTTTACTACAACAGAAGAGTTTATTAGTTGTTCTAAAGAATAAACAGTCCACAGGATAAAGAAAAAAAGACATACTTGCTGGTCCTTTACAGATGTGTTGTGACCCATAGTCTATAAAATTAATTTAATAATTAATAATACTCAATCTATTAAATTAATTAGAGTCACTTCTGTTTGAAAGCTAAATTGGGTTGTTTGTTCATATATACACACATATATCAGTGGTTCTCATTTTCTGTAAGATCCCACTGGGATCCAGAATCAGTCTCATGAGATAATTTTGGACTCACTCGGTCTTTGATATCTGGTCTAAAGGAAACTATTTGTACAAAGAAGGATAATGGATTTTATAATTGTAAGGTGCTGTCTTGAAATCAAGAAAACCACCAATCCATTCAATGACAAAGACATCAAGACACATTTGATAAAACTTAGTAATTTTATTATACACTTATTTGACAAAAAATATTTTCCTATATTTAACTGAAGCAAAAGATATATGAAGAACCCTATTCTTCAATGTAGAAAACCTCAATGGAAGGTTGAATGCTTATATGACATAGCTTGTGAAAGGTGCCAGAAGTAACTGAGTTTTTTTTTCACTTAAGTAACAACTCCTCTAAGTTTCTCCTACCTTTTCATTGTAACCAGTATCAGGGAAGATGACAAATTCAAGTAATTTATATTTCAAAAATAAGCCAAGCACACAGAAACTCTGGTAACCTCTTTGTTTTGTTTTGTTTTGTTTGATGGTCTATGGGTTTAGCTTTTCCTTAGGTCCCTAATATACTCTGTGAAAGCATTTCAAAAGACTGAATACACTAAAAAAAATTTCTTCTATATATCTAGGCAATATTTATTGTGCATATGAATAGAAAATTATGTACTGTGGCCAACAAATCTGTAAAATTGCTAAATGACTTCCTTATCCATCTAACCTTTCCAAGCAGTTTAATCTGTCTATATAGGCATATGAAAGTGCCAATGGTCAAGTAAGATGCAAATGTTGACTTGTCATAACAGATATTTGCATGTGTGTAGAGAGGAATTCCTTTTAAAAAGCAACAACAAAAACAGCCATGAAACAGAAGAAAAATTAAAGAGAGCCTCTGGCTTGAACATTCAGAAATATAATCAAGAGTGGCCTTAGAACTAAATTTTCCAATCTTCAAAAGTAATGGAGTCAGAAAGAATGGAAAAGGTAACTGACACAAACTGATTTCTATTTATATAGAAAATTATTAACAGACAAACTTCAGAAGAACCCACTGATACTGCTCATTGGGAGAAGAGGAAATTAGGGAAGGTTATATCAAGTGTGAGCATCTCAACAACATAGAACATTATAAAATGAAGTATAATTCTTACTTCTAATTGAGTATAATATAGGAGTTCAAGGGGAGTAGGGGAGGGAGCAGAAAAAACTGATATTTCAAGTTTCTGGGTTTTCACTCATTTTGGCCTGAAGGCTATCCTGCAATCAAGACTCTCAATTGAAGTGCACTTAATAAATCAATTGCATACTTTTAAGAGTCTGATGTATGTTAACATAAGATTTTTATTACAGAATGTAGCAAAATATTTTTAAATGCTGAATTTAAGTGAAGTAATCATTTTTGAAATGAAATATCAAAAACTGGTCTGAAATTAGAGTTGTTTTGTTGCCACAAAGGGTCACTGTGCATATTTCAATCAGGCATGCATTTTTCAGTTTTCTTTTTCATTATGACCATCAGTTAGTTGTACAAGAGGGCTTGATTTTGACATGGCCATATATACACATAATGATCTTGACAGATTCACCTCATCAGGTGTGCATTTTTTCATGCAGTTTATGATCTGTTGAATGGCATGTCCTTTGTACAACTACTTAAAGGTAATAAAAATATTTTTCGTGTAGGTTTTCAGTTGGATGCTGATTGTTTATGCCTGTAATCTTGGCTACTCGGGAAACTGAGGCCTTGGGGATCATGGTTTGAGGTCAATCCTGGCAGTAAAGTTCTTAAGACTCCATCTCCAATAAACAAGCAAATTGATGGATTGGAGACATGCCTCAACTAGGAGAGTACAAGCTGTGAACAAGTAAGCCAACTGAGTAAGAAGCACTGAGTGAAAGTCCCAGTACAAGCACAAAGAAAAATGTAGTACATAAGCTTGGAGCCAGTGGCTCCCAGGTCTGTAACTGTAGCTACTCAGAAGTATGAGACTAGAGGATTTCAGTTGGAAGTCACCTTGGCAGAAAAGTTTGACAGATTTATCTCCAAGATAATCTGCCAAGTGGCTGACATGGTACGGTGCCAGCCAAGTAAGAACAAGATCCTGAGTTCAGAATTAGTACCACTAATGAAACAAGATAAAAATTACCTATATAATCTTAGGGAAAATTTTGTCATTATCTTACATCATCCAGGATAATGTAAGCCCAAATACAATCAAATGGTTAATATGAGTTTAGGAATAATTCATTTAAAAACACAATTAAAATGAATCACAGAAGGTTTTTTTTGTGTCAAGGTCTTACTAAGGTGCCCACATGAGATCACGAGAAACTCCTTCTCAGACTCCCCAGGGCTAGAATATCTTCTAAAAAAAGGCTTAGTCTCAAATCCATTCAATTATTTTTACTTCTTAGGATATTAGTGAAAATATTCTGAGAAATTCACAGAGTTAATTCAGAGATAATGGCAATGGATTAGATACCCCTAGCACAATAAAGCCTGGAATACTGGTCATTATGAAGATTCCCTTATAGGTGTGTTCCTCCATGCATTACAGAAGACTATTTTTGAGGATGGGGAGGAGTGGGGGAGGTCTGGAAGGAATGTGGGAGGTGAGGGAGGGTAGGGACAGTGGGACAACAAGGGAAGGGGTAACAATGATCTACAAGTAATGTACTCATTTCCTTACTCATTTAACTGTAACCTCTCAGTACAGCATCTTTACAATAAAATAAATTTTTTTTTATTGTGAAAAATTTTTTAAAGAAGACTTTAATCAGAAGGAGTGGGGTGGTTTCTGAAAGTCATACTCGATGAACATACCCAGCAGAGCAATCTATTTGTTTCCTAGCTTCTCATAGGAAAACACAAAGAACATGGGAATGGATAAGAAAAAGAAAGCCTCTAGCTCCTTTGCCTGATGATTACAACTCTCAAAAGGTAAGATCCCTACTTAAGAGTAGGAATTTTGTACTGCAAATTAAAAATCCATAGTGAAGATATCATTGACAACCAAGCAATTACAGAAGAAGAGCCTATTCCCTTTGTAAAAGAAGCTTTAAAAATGACCACTGACTTCCATGGTTGATTATCTATAATTTGTGAATTCCTAAAGATTACCTTTATGTTTGTTTCTTTTTGAAGAAATCACAGAACCACTATTTGCACTTTTGAGATATTTCAGAAACCGTACATTTAAATAGTATAACAACAACATAATAATTTGTGTGGGTTGACTGAGGAGATCTGAAATGAATATTTTACATTAAGGGTACCAATGTGTCAACTACTATTAAAAGTTGGATTAATTAAATACATTGGGAAATCTATATAGACAATAATAACATCACCTAGTCCAATAATCTAGAAAATCTGGTTTTAGGAAAAAAATCATAACAATGATGGGTGGGAAAATGATCATATAACTAAGAAGAAAAGACTGTATAAACAGGAAACTAGAACAGCTAAAAGTAACTCTCTTCTACAAAAAGGCATAGTCTCAAATCTATTCAATTATTTTTTACTTCTTAAGATATTTGAGAAAATATTCTGAGAAATACACAGAGTTAATTTAGAGATAACGGCAATGGATTAGACACCTCCAGCACAATAAAGCCTGGAATACTGGGCATTATGAAGACTCTTTTTATAGTAGAATAAAAGAAGAGTAAGAAAAGCCAACTAATAATGGTGATGACAGATCTAGATTACAATATAAAATGCTTTTTTGAAAAATTATGTTATCCAAATTTAAACTAAAAGAATAAAATTAAAATTTTAAGATTAACCTATAGCCCAGATATTTCCATATTAAATTATATTTATGACCATTCTTAGACTAGCAAGACAAAAACAACCATCAAATGACTTACTAGATCAGTTTACAATGATATAGTAATAAAAGAATGTAAAAATTTTAAACTAATAGTCACAGATTTTTAGCACAGTAAATAAACACTGGATAATAGACTTAATCTATAAATAATATCATCTCATTATGTGGCTCCTAATAGGTATCAAACTATGGAAAGAAGAAACAACAAAAGTGAGTCCTCTGCAAGGGATTTTTTTAACCCATTAAGTTAAATACCGTGTGGGAATTTAAAAGTGAAAAATGAGTCAAACATCTGCCAAGATTACACTGGAATTAATTTAGATTAGTTGAATATACTTCCTAGATGAACTTTCAGGATGAAAACTATATATATATTTCACAAATAAAATAGACTTCACCCAATCAGTACATTTACAAGATATAATTTGAACCCTTGTTAATGACATAGGCCCAGATAAGATATACATGTTTTCTGTGATATTTTCTAAAAGAAAATAGTTTAAAATGAACCTATGGCTATGGTTTCGTCTTTAAGTTCACAGAACTGGTTATTTTATGATTTGAAAGGGGTTTCTGGGAAAAGAAAGAAATTGGTGTCTATGTATAATATGAATATGCATACTTACGCAGTTCACCAGCTGCATTTCGACCACCAACTGCATACAGATATCCTTTGAGGGCACTTAGGTGGAAGAAGGTGCGCTTTTCATTTAGAGATGCAACTTGCATCCATCTGTTATATCGAGGATCAAATCTGAACACGGTATCAACTGCCGTTTTTCCTTTTGTATCATAATTGCTCTGTCCACCAACGACATAGAGGAAGTTTCCAATGACAGCAATGCCATGCTGGTATCTTGGGGCATCCATGGGGGCTAGAGATTTCCACTCATGGGCTTTTTCATCATACATGCGCAATTCCTTACTGACAACCAGCTGCTGTCTCAGCACTCCTCCTAATGTAACCAAATGAGTGGTGTCAGACCGAATGGCAGTCCTGTCTGACTGCATCACGGGCTGCATATATGGCATCATTTGGTAATTGCTGGCTTCCAAAAGCAAATTCACGCAGGTGTTGTCAGTTCTCATGAAATCCACTGTTTGCACATAATTAATGAGCTCTTGTGGTGTCATCAGTGGAAATCGTATGTTCTTCATTAATTTGGCAGCAAAGTCCATCCGGGGCTCTTCCAGGCGAAGCCAGCGGCAGGTAGCTTTAAAGAGCTCGAGTTCAGTGCAATGCTTAAGGCTATTACTGGAAAGCACAAAGGCAAGACGCTCAAAAGGGAGTTTCAAGAACTCCCCAGTGCTCAGCAATGCAGGAAAATTCTTTAAGACAAAACTGTTAACGTATTTATCCACTTCTGTCAGATTGTAGGTGTTGGCAATCCTTCCAACTTCAACGCAATTGTCTAGAGTGACCTGTTAAGCCAATAACAAATTCAAACATGACTACATCCTTGATACATTTGGTCACACAAAAATGTGTTCTATGATAGAGTGAATTCTACTTCTTAATATCCATATATATATATATACAAATAAAGATTCTTATCTAAATGCCCCACTGATCTGCAGAGAGGAAGAAACCAATTCATTGGAAAGGTGACTAAGAAAAATGATCTGTCAGTCAGAAGTTAAGCTAAGAAACAATGTCCCAACTTCACTATGGCCAAAATAATTAGGGCAACATAGCTAGTAGCCAATCAGAACAACCTCAATAACCTCTGTGCTGCTTTGTACTTGCTAAATAACAGCCCTGGAAATAATGAAGTCAAGACTGGTTTGGTAGGAGAGAAAAAAAATGACTCACTATTAACTGTAATTATCTATATAGCCATCTCTATTGCAATAAATCTCCCCAAAAGTAAAAAAAAAAATCTTAAAAAGCATGCCTGTTTACAAATCCAATATACATTAAGTAAGAAATGCAAAACACATGTAATATGCAAGAAATCCACACATCAAGATAAAATGTGTGTTTTTTTTTAAAAAAAAAGGATCACTCACAATGAACAGTGGGAATTAACTCTCAAGATACAATATATCAAAAGCAATAGATGTCATTCATCACATTAATAGAATGAAGTACCAAAGGCACATGACCAAGTCAAATGTAGTATATTTTCAAATTGAAAAGTCCCAAGTTATAGAAGGAATGTGCTTCAACATATTCCTATTTCTTTCATTCCATCTATTCTTGGATTTTTTTCTGTTCTAACAGGGAGCTGTAGTATATTTCCTGGGTTCTGAGGCTTCTGTAGATGTATTTTCATCCCACAGATGGTTGTCAGAACTGGTGCTCTGGCTAGAGTATAGGGTCTGAAATTCTCTAATTTGCCATCTTACTGATGTTCCTATTGCTTAGTCATCTGTTTATTGTTATATCCATAGCAAAGAATTTTAATAAGTCAAAGCATATTTGTTTAAAAAGTTCCAAAACAGATAGCCGGGCGCTGGTGGCTCACGCCTGTAATCCTAGCTACTCAGGAGGCTGAGATCTGAGGATCGCGGTTCAAAGCCAGCCCGGGCAGGAGAGACTGTGAGACTCCTATCTCCAATAAACCACCAGAAAACCGGAAGTGGCGCTGTAGCTCAAGTGGTAGAGCGCTCGCCTTGAGCTGAAGAGCTGAGGGACAGCGCCCAGGCCCAGAGTTCAAGCCCCATGGCCGACAAAAAAAAAAAAAAAAAAAAAAAAGTTCCAAAACAAAAGCTATCTTTTCCAATGACTTCTGATTCTTTACGTTTTTCCTTGAGAGAATCATGTTCTCTCTTTTCTTAGACTTTTTGTCTGGCTCCAACATACATAACTTCTCTGTAATTTTTGTAATTACTTCTAATCACAGTGATAGGGTTTATTTTGTGAGTACCCTGTTATCCTCCACAATAATAATTGCTTGGGGCAAATGGTAGGTGCTAAAATTTTCAAATGGAAAAAAAAGATAATTGAAACCCTTAACCCTAACCTGATTATAAATTGGAATGATTCTACAATACTTAGCATATAGTTATATAACATCATAAGGACAAAAATGAATGTCATATTAAAGGTAGATGGTTAAAGATAATTTTCTCATAGTATATTCATAGTATGTACAAGTGTTTTAGTTTTACAGAAAATATTACCTAGCCTGCTTTGTACTGTTTGCTGCCACCTTTTTATATTCATTTCATGGTCCTCTTTTTGAATAACAAGAAAATAACAAAGAACAAAAATTCCAATTCTTATAAACTATTATACTAATAATCTCCCTAGGAAAAAAGGTACTACTGTAGAGATGAAGTTGGTTAGGAGATTGGTTTTTGTCCTACTAAGCCCAATGCTCTATTATAGAAAAGTGGTATTTCATCTCACCACAGAAAACAAAAATAATGCTGGAAAGAGATTAAGTCCTAACTGGTACAATCACCTTTCTTTCTAAATCTCAGTTCTGACTGGGTATGAGAAAAATCCACAATAACCTTAATGTTCATTTAAAACACCTCCAGTGGAACCAGAGGAAGATGGCAGAGAAGCTGGAGGCTAAACAAGCTCCCCTATAGAAAGCAGTTTTAGTGTTCCAGTGAACAGTCCTAGGCTAGAGTATCACACCAAGTGTGCCATCACAGTACAGAGAGTTTGGCCAGAGTGGGATAATCCAGACAAGGAGACAGATCTGAGCACTTGGTGGTAGCCCTGGCTGGGGAAGCAGCAGTGTTGGCCATAGCCGCCATAACTACAGAGAGAGCCTGGGACAAAGGATCCAGATGTAGCATGTGAGTGGATTCTATTCACTACCAGCAAGAACTGACAAGGAACATATATCTTCATCCTGCTGATGGCAGACCAGGGACGGCCCAGGAACCAAGAGTCTGGCGTGAGTAGAACCTTGACATCCTTCACCACCAGAGAAGATCTTCATCTTTGATACAAAGGCCAGGCTGAGCAGCTAGCTGCAACCCAGGCCTTGGAAGAAAACAATTGGAGATATTAGCAGGTCATAGGAACCTGACCTGACCTGCCAGGCTCAGCTCCACCCAGGGGAAAGTCACCCCGCCCAGGCTAAAGAAGCTCCGCCCTGGAAGGAGTGACTTTCTTCAGTGGGTAAACAGAGCCAGAGGCTGCCCCTCCCTACTGCAGCCTAGAAAAACAACTGAAACTCAGTAACATAAACCCTGAGAATGGCTCCAGGCTAGCCCCTTAGGGAAAACTACTGATTGCTGAAAGGCCTCAACCCTACCCAGAACCTAGCCTCATCACAGCAACTCCAAATGAGAGGAAACAGCCATCTCCCTCTTTTGTGATACTCAAAGCAGATCTCCCTCCCACTGAACTAGCCTGGGAGGAGGATCACAAAATCCTGGTTAAGGCAGAGCATTTTTCTGCCTGTTCAAATAAACTGACTTAAGAAATCAATCAAGCCACAGGAAAACCAAACACCACAAGCAGACCAGACACTCTACCAAGAGACTGGCTACGGACGCAGGGGAGATACAGGATCTTCCCATTCCCCCCACCCAAAAAAAATCAAAGAACTCTTTTTACTACCTATTTTTTTATTATTTTTAATTATTTTATTTTTTTCTTTCATAAATTTTATTTTAGGAGTGTGTGTGTGTGTGTGTGTGTGTGTGTGTGTGCACGCACGCACACACTTTTTTTAAAATCTCTTTTGACCTTGTGATACTTTTGTTCTTTTTCTTTTCTTTTTCTTTTCTCTTTCTTTTTTATGTGACTTAAATACTGTTCTGTTCATCCCCAGATATATACCTGTCCTTGATTATTAGCCTTATCCCTCATTGTGTACATACTTAATCCAGAAACTTATTACTCAATTCACAACCTCTTAGGCTTAACTTCTTTAATAGTGGTATTGTTTCTTTATTTCTATATAACTTTCAAGTATTCCAATTTTAAGAACTTTTACTTTATTTTTTATTTTTTCCTTTTTATCTTGTCCCTCCTCTCATCCTATCCTTTTCTTCTCTCAATAACATTTCTTTATAACTTATGTAATTTTGAAGTGTTTTGTTTTTCAAATTTAAATTTTTGTTTTTCCATTTTTCTTGTTTATTTAATCTCTCTCCTATCATTTTGTCCTATCCATTTCCTTCTCTGAGATTAGAACATGATTAAATTCACTCTTCTTTTACCTCTCCACATCTCTCTAATGCTATTTTTCCCCAACATTCTCACTAAACCTAATAAGCAGAACTTAGAAAATGGAAAAACCTCCCATGCTCCTGGGTTGGAAGGATTGTGAAAATGGCAATACTTCCCAAGGCTATCTACACATTCAATGTGATACCTATGAATATTCCAACCTCATTCTTCAAGGAAATAGAAGAGGCAATCCAAAAATTCATATGGAACAATAAAAGACCCCGAATAGCAAAAACAATCCTCAACAGAAAGAACAGTGCTGGAGGAATATCAATACCAAACGTCAAACTCTACTACAAAGCCATAGTAATCAAAAGAGCTTGGTACTGACACAAAAACAAACCTCAGGACCAATGGAATAGAATTGAAAACCCAGAAATGAACCTACAGACCTATAGCCATCAAATCTTCGATAAGGGAGCTAAAACAATAGAATGGAAGAAAGACAGCCTCCTCAGTAAATGGTGCTGGCACAATTGGTTAATCACTTGTAGAAAACTAAAGCTAGATCCTTATATATCACCCTGCACCAGAATCAACTCCAAATGAATCAAAGACCTCAGAGTCAAAGCAGACATTCTGAAAACATTACAGTCAGGAATAGGAGAAACCCTAGGTCTCCTTGGCACAGGTCAAAATTTTCTTAGTAGAGACCCAGAAACACAACAAACCAAAGAAAAGTTGGACAAATGGGATTGCATGAAGCTGCAGAGCTTCTGCATGGCAAAGGACATAGCTAGCAAGATCAATAGGAAGCCCACAGAATGGGAGATCTTCACTAGCCATACAACAGACAAGGGTCTCATATGTAAAACATACCTGGAACTCAAAAAATTATATCCTCCAACAACAGATCCTCAAAAAAACAACCTCCCAATAAATAAGTGGGCTAAAGACTTAAAGAGAAAGTTCTCTGAATAGGAAATAAGAATGGCCAATAGACACATGAAGAAATGCTCAACATCCCTAGCCATAAAAGAAATACAAATCAAATCAACATTGAGATACTACCTCACCCCAGTTAGAATGGCTATGATCAAGAACTTTAACAACAACAGATGCTGGAGGGGATGTGAACAGAAGGGAACCTTACTGCATTATTGGTGGGAGTGTAAACTTGTCCAACCACTTTGGAAAGTAGTATGGAGGTTCCTCCAAAGACTCCACATAGAGCTCCCCTATGACCCAGCAATCCCACTTTTGGGCATTTACCCAAATGATCACAAACAAGACCACACTAAAGCTACCAGCACAACTATATTTATTGTAGCATTGTTTACCATAGCTAAGATATGGAACCAACCCAGATGCCCCTCAGTAGATGAATGGATCAAGAAAATGTGGTATATATACACAGTGGAATTCTATGCCTCCATCAGAAAGAATGACATTGTTCCATTTGTTAGGAAATGGAAAGACTTGGAAAAAATTTTAATAAGTCAGGCCCAAAGAAAAATAGATCCCATAGTTTCCCTTATTTGCAATAACTAGCATATGTCTGAGACAAGCAGAAAAGGTCAGATAAGGTGATGTTAAGCGAAATGAACCCCAAGAAAAGGACACAAGTGGTTTTTTTTCTTTCTTGTTATTGTTTCTAACGTATTTAGAAGGTACCATGTAATTTTTTGTTGCTTTATATGTCCCTCCCCCATGGTATAACCCCTGTTTTCACTGTATTTGATGTTGGTATAATTTGGGGAGGGAAAGGGAAAAATCAATTTGTTTAAATAGGGATACAGGTTGACCCATTGCAAAAATGAGATGTACAAGATGCTATGTCAAAAAATGAATTGTACAATTTAGGCGGGGGCTGGGTAGGTGGGAAGTGTAGTTATGGAGATGGGAGAGAAGGGATGGTAGGGGAAAATCAAAGGAGGAGGCAATAATGTTTGATAATAAATGTATTCATTATCTTGCTCATGTAATTGTAACCCCTCTGTACAGTATTTTCACAATAAAAATCATTTTAAAAAACTACAAGAGGGGAAAAAAACACCTATTCCCCAATTCTATGAAAAGTTATGTCAAAGTGGTTTTACACTGCTTTCAATATCACCAACTCCATCTCAAAACTGTACCACTTGCATTTGATTCTCCTATATTTGATTATTATGGATTATATCATTATTTGTCAGTAGTGTATTAAGTTTCCTGTGGCTGGTATGACCATTTATCACAAACTTGATAGTTTCTAACAACAGAAATTTATTCTTTCACAGTTGTTGAGACCAGACACTCCAAATCAGAAAACTGTATTATTTTCAAATAAGCTGAAATAATTTTAAACTATATCAATTGCAATAACTCTAGGAACCACACAGAAATCATTTACTAGCTGTTAATTATTACATGTTTAAAAATACAAAGAACTTTTTAACATATAAATTATAATAAAAGGGGACAAAGATGTGAATAAAACAACACTCCTAATAAAACATCTTATAGAAAAGAGGAAAGTTAAGAGTGGCCATAATTAAAGCTCTCATCCAAAATTAATGCATAATTGCTTTCTGGATTTTGTGCGAATTCACATTTCATGTACCTCTGTTCTATATACACACAAATGATTAAGAAGAGAAAGAACAGAATTGTATTAAAAAGGAATCTTTCTAAAATTTGAAACTCAAATACTTTGGTTATATGAGGTATTTAGTTTCAAATATTATTAAAAAATTATTTCCTCCAAAACATTTGAATTCAGCATACAATTGTTACAAAATGGAGGGGGATTGGGAGAGATTAAAAAAAGATCATTATGTTAAAAAATTATAACAGTACATAGGAGTAGTTTTTTAAACGACGTCCATTTTAAAATATTTATAGCATCATGAATTTTTCAGTTCCTCTAGGTAGAAAAGGCAACCAGGGCTAATGTTTTTCCTATTTTCTGAGAAAGAAAGAGAAAATACAGAGGGAAAGACTACATATGGGTTTAGCTACAGAAATATAATGCATGAAAGAAAATTAATGGAAAAGTCAAATTTTATGTGTTTTGGAAAGAACAGTCTACCGATTTTTATTTTTCAAAAGATGATAATGAATTCTGACAGGGAAGGCTCCCACTATGAAAGTACATGGTTACATCCTCAACTATGAAAGTACATGGATACATCCTCAACACAACGGATGAAGGATAAATAATGTAGAATGATGCTAAAAAATATTAAAAGGAGGTGTTTCCTAAATATTCATAATCAAAAAAGCCCTAAAATTGTGAGACAGGAATAAACTACAAAGTAACTAAAACACTATCTTCAGGAGCTCATTATCTGCTAATTAATGCATTAAATGCTTATTAAAAAGCAAATACTGACAGGTACCAGTGGCTCAAAACTGTAATTCTAGTTATGAAAGAGGCTGAAATCTGATAGATTGTGGTTCAAAAGCCAGCCTAGAAAAAAAAGTCCAGGAGAACTCATCTCCAAAACAACTAGCAAAAGAATAGACTGAAAGTACTAGAATGTCAGCGTTGAGCAAGAAAGCTGAGCAAATCCAAGTTTCTAAATTCAAAACCCAATATAAGATACATTTTTTTAAAAAAGAAAAAAAATTCAGTGAGTGATTTGTTTCTAAGAAACCAAGATATATCTTTACAGATTTGTACGTAAGTTTACATCTTAAGATCTACCTCCATATTAAAGACAAAACAATAACCAAAAAATCCATCAAACCTATTTTAACAACAACAATAAAAAAACCAAACCTATTTTAACAGACTTTTAGAAACTCAGGTTACCTTTCCATGGAATTCCCTTGAAGATACTTTTATGAAATCACTAACCTGAATAAATTCCAATTAAGCTACGTAATATTATCAAGCAGGTTAAGATATATATATATATATATATATATATATATCCTTAATCATATACAATTTGTATCCCATATTTTATTATACTGAAGGATCTGGTTAAATGATTCTGTTTTTCAAATGCACTTGTCTTTTAATCTCAGCTTGCTTCCAGACTCACATGACACCACTCTAATAGCAATAACTGAGTGTAGACAATATATTTTGTGAGTCCTACCCTAAGCTCTACATCAGTCCCCCATAGGAAAAAAAAATCTGAAAACATCTTACCCCAGAAATGAGAAATACTTTACAGAAGTCAAGAACCGGCAGAATTTGTAGAAAGCTGGCAGCTTCCAGTGTGTCTTGAAGGTTATCCATGTTAAGAGAAAGCTTTGCAGTATAAATAAAATCAATAATTTTCCTTAAACCAACTTTGCTCACTCCATGAAGCTTAATACACATTAAATCTTGTTCTTTCATTCCACCTTAAATGAAAAGACATTCAGTTAAATGAAAGTGAATAATTAAGGTCAAACTCACTTCTGCTGCTAATGAGATGCATTAAAATCAAGGAAAAAGTCTTATTCAGTGTGAGCATTCATACCAGAGTCATACTTCTGCATATTTTACAGTTAAAAGAGAGTATTTAAAGAAATTTATTTCTATACTAATGGAAGTCATATACAATGCAAATACTTCCAAAATACCCTCCTGTCATTTTCTTTCTTTTGATGTATTAAAGATCTTATTACTAAGACTCACAGTCTCCAATGGGCCATTCAGATACCAAAAGAAAAGGTATGAAATAAAGATAGATAGCATGAAAAGGCACATTAATTTTCCATAATGGGGCAATGCTACGCAGTCACATATGCTGATGAATATTACTTTTGAAAGTATTAGAATGGAAGAGACCAAAATATCTGCATTTCATGTTACAAAGAAAATATTTAAACATATATTTCTCATATAGTTTTAATATGATCACAATTTTTAAAAAAAATAAGCTACCTGTGAACATAGCTTTGAAGTAATCACTGGCAGATGCCATCATAACTCTATGCACAGGGAAGGCATCATCTGTATCACCTGGCAGCAGAGTGACATCACAAAGCAATCCTTCAAGCCGAAGCTGGTCAAAGCCCTGTAACAAGAACAGAAGTTAAGCCACTAATCAAGGTAAAATGGGGTCACAAACCCCTATGTGATAAAATTCTCTTTAAATATTATTATATGCTGTATTTGGAAAACAGAGCCAGAAAAATTATTACTCAGTAGAATAAAGTAGCACAGTATCTTTCTTGCTACTCAACAATGTATATTGTATTTCATTATGTGAAAAAAAGATGAAATTAAGGCCAATTTAGATTAGAAATAAATAGGTAAAGTACATAAATAATTAACTCACTTATATGGCCAAGTGCTTTCAATTTATTTTGGGGAAATTTTACCAGGTACATTTCTATTTAGCAAAGGCAAAATAACTGCACAATAGGAGTTCATTCTATTAATTGGGTTGTTCCATCTCTCTAAGAATTAAGGATTGTGTTTTAAATATTCTGATACTCACCATATTGCTGCTGCATGACCAGTTATCTTTCTAGTTTCAAGTTTTAAATTTGTATCTTTGTTGAATGGAGCCCAGGAAGCTCCAACTGGTGACTTAATTGTCCCTACGTGCTTAAAAGGTTTAATGGAGAGTTAGCAGGCTAGCTCTAACCGGTCAAAGAACAGACAAGGGTCTGGTGAGAAGGATGCCTATTGATTAGCTCTGGACATATATCCTTGATGGTCCCAAATAATGACGAATAAGCAGTTACTCCTTAGGAGAATAAAACATTTCTGATTGTAAGATTCCACAAATATATACATATTTTGCAATATCATGCTTTAGATGACAAATACAATTAAAATAATAAAAATAATAGCTTTTAGATGACAGATACCAATCCACAGAAAATCTAAGAGCTATATATACATACATACATACATACATATATATATATATATATATATATATATATATCACAGGGATACAGTTTAAAAAAAACTGAATATGTTCACCATTTAGCCTGTACATTTATTTTTTATTTTTCCAATTCTAGCATAGAGGTCCCAGCCCCTATGTGTAGGGTGTTTGTGGAATTTCTAACAGAATATCTTGAGACCTGAATAAACTTTGGATTAGGGGTAAAAATTATCAAGGGAGATGCAAATTTCAGCTGAAAAACAGTTGGAATTGGGACTGATCAACTAAAAATAAATAAATAAATAAATAAAAATAAAATTGTCAACCCCCCCCCTCCAAAAAAACAAAAAACTGCAATTCCCTTTGTTCTTCTACCATCTCTCCCACCCTCTGAGAGGTCCTAAGGTTTAGATAGTGAAATGATCCAATGGCAGTGTCATTTTGTACTTAAGTTCCAAAATAGGAACATTTATACTTTTTTCTGTATTGCAATAGGTAGTTTTGTGTGAATCTTTTCTCCTCTAGCCTTGTTGCCCCATCTTTTTCAGCATTGTGCTTTCTCCTTGAGCTTATTTGAAAATTCTACTCTGTTTTATACCAAGCTTGTTTAGTACATTTTTCTATGTTTTACCACAAGTTACAATTTAAAAAAAACTATTTTTTAACTAAAATAATAATAATAATAAGCCAAAGATTATAATTGGCTGATAAAGTATACTCAACTGGTGACAATATGCAATTTAATTATAGGGAAAAAAGAATTTGGCAAGACTGTAGTTTCAAAGACAGAAATTTTTGCTATTAGAAAATCAGGGAAATACAGATACAAATTTCTTTATAAGCATATAATAACTGAATACAATAAGAATCAATATACAGGATTACTTTATCCTCTATTTTAAGGACCACAAAGGAAACTATGTTAAAATAACACTTCATAGATCTAGATGTAAGAAGCATAATACACTAATATGTAAGAATAATATGTAAGAACACATAATACTTAATACATAATACACTAATATGTAAGAAGTATAATATTCTAAAATGTACTAAATATGCACATAATATGCACTAAATGCACATAATACACTAAAATTTAAAATGTTGATTCTACACATGTATAAACCTTTCTAAATATAAATTTTAAAAAACTTTTTAAATTAAATGCTTAAATCTATAAAGCTAAAACCTTGAAGAGATGATCTGCTCCAGCTATTTTCTCTCTAGAGAGAAAAATATCCATACATTATAAATATACTTCACAACAGGATTATGTAGCATGTTGGTTTTTGTTCAGCATGAATGACATGTTTTTGTTCATAAGTATAAAATACTTTATAAATATTCCTTTTCCTTTGTAAACACAAACACTACATACTTCATCCTCACTAATTCATATTTTTTCCTTGTTACAAAAGTAGAAGTGAAAGAACAATAATAGTTCATTTTGTAAAATAAATGCCAACTTGGGGAAAACATTTTCATGCTTAAGGAAGAAGAGGCTGTTCTAAGATTCATACATGGGGTCTCATGCGCAGTAAGTGTATGAGAATCCCATTTCAACTGTAGGTGAGTGTCAGAAAGTGCTAAATGAGTACTCTGGGGTCAGGGTTAAGCACTTGAGAAGGAAACCCTCATCTGAACAATTGAGAGACCAGCCAGTGTTTTTGGCACATCCATCATATTTAAATGATCAATTAAGACATGAACATGACAAGCCAACTGTTGCCCCAAAGGCACAAGTTAGTAGTTTAAAACCATGCAACTACATTGCATGTAACTTTGACTTTGTTGCAAGTTAACTAGGACTCAAACACTTACTTCTGAAGTTTCTTCCAATAATAAAAATGAAAAAGGACTGGTTTTTCTTCCTGCCTCAAACATCAAGTTCAATATATGCTATATATTAAAATGAAATATTTTAAATTTGGAATTTACAACCCTGACATGTTAGTGCCTACCTATAATCCTAGCACTAGGGAGGCTGAGGTAAGAGAACTGTGAGTTGGAGACCAGCCTGGGCTATATAGAGAAACCTTGTCTCAGAAAATAATATAGGAGGATATAAACTGAAAACTAAAGTTAATCTCAAGTGAGATACTATATCTACCAATGTACATCTTAAACTCCACTTGAACAACCTAGACAGCCTCCTGTCTGAGAGTACAAAGATTTAATTCTTCTTGTTGTAGGATGTATAGTATTCCACAGTGGGGATATAATACCTAGGTTGTCTTTCAACTTTTGAATTATAAAGAAGGCTCCAATAAATCTTTTTGTATATATACATACTTAGGTAAGTATGTTTGGGTGAAATACTCTCAGGAGTGTTGTTGATTAGAAAAGTAATTATTTTTAGTGTTTTGATAGCTACTGGCAAGTGGAAGGATTTTTCTTAGGGAATTATCATATGTTAGGTACTGGCAAATAACAGAAAGAAATATTTCTAGATATCAATAAGACAAGGTACACTATGCCATCTTCCTTCATTTTTATTCTTCAAATACATTTTAATCTCTAAAAGCAATGCAGATAGTAATCTTCAAAAAAATTGGGGCTAGACCTGTAATCCAAAGTCTTTGGGTGGCAGAGTTCAGGAGACTGTGCTTCAGAGCCATCCCAAGAATAAAAGTTCATGGGATTCCATTTCTGTCAATGGCCGGGCATGTGGGTGAAACTGTCACCCAAGCTACACAGGATGTGTCCCTGCTATCCCTAGCAACATGGAGAAGCACAGATAGGCGAATCATGTCCCAAACTAAGTGAGACCCTACCACAAAAATGCCCAAATCCAAGAGTCCTGGAGCCATGATTCAAGTGGCAGAGGCCTACCTAACAAGCACAAGGCCCTGAGTTAAAGCTCCAATCTCACTAACACACACACACACACACACACACACACACACACACACACACACACACACACACACACAATTACAGCTTATTCAAAAGCAATGATTGCCAACAAGCTGTTATTTCCTTAAACCACAAATAAAACAGAAAACATACCTCATGGCATTAAAATATTCCTATAAAACTATTTTATATTTGGAACTGAGTAATTCAATGGGCTTCATCCCTTCATTCACTTTTCCCTTTGAAAAAAGGCATGGCTAATCCTTCCTCTATCATCAACTGTTTCATTTTTCATTTTATCTATATTCTAGTAAAATATTTTATACAGCTGGGCACCCAGTCCTCTAAATCTGGACATCTCAGCTCACCCAAGATCAAGAGTTTCTACTCAAAAATTTGATCATTTGGATTTTGGCCAATCAACTTCAAAAATTCATCCAAAAAATCATACACCACCATCAAACAGGATTCATTTCAGGGATGCAAACTGGTTCAATATACACAAATCAATTAACACTATTCATCACATCAACAGGAGCAAGAATAAAGACCACATGGTTATCTCAATAGATGTAGAAAAAGCATTCGACAAGATCCAACACCCCTTCATGATGAAGGTATTGGAAAAATTAGTAATCCATGGAACATTCCTCAATACAATAAAGGCTGTATATGACAAACCTACAGCCAGCATTATACTCAATGGTGAAAAACTAAAGCCATTTCCTCTTAACTCAGGAACAAGACAAGGATGTCCACTCTCTCCACTTCTCTTCAATCTAGTATTAGAATGCCTAGCTACAGCAATAAGACACGATGGAGACATAAAGGGGATCCAAACAGGGAAAGAAGAAATAAAACTCTCCCTCTTTGCAGACGACATGATCTTGTATTTAAAGAATCCCATAGACTCCACTCCCAAATTACTCAAGCTGATTCAAAACTTTGGCAAAGTAGCAGGGTATAAAATTAACCCCCAAAAATCAATGGCTTTTCTGTATGCCAACATGAGAAACGTGTGGCTGAAATTAGGAAAGCAACTCCATTTGTAATAGCCCCACAAAAAATAAAATACCTAGGAATTAACTTAACCAAAGAAGTGAAGGACTTCTATGATGAAAACTTTAAAATCTTGAAAAAGGAAATCAAAACAGAACTTAGAAAATGGCAAAACCTCCAATGCTCCTGGATTGGAAAGATTAACATCATGAAAATGGCAATACTTCCCAAGGCTATCTACAAATTCAACGCGATACCTATCAAAATTCCAACCTCATTCTTCAAGGAAATAGAAGAGGCAATCCAAAAATTCATAT